CATATCTTCGTAAAACTAATATAAATTCTTGACGTATTTTAATTACAGGTCAAAAATAAATCGAATATATTAATTTCATTGTCAGGTCTCTTTACAAATGATTTTAATTTAAGTCAGGATTTCAAGTTATGAAGATCAAGTTTTGAGTAGCTTACCCGTGAAGGTTATAAGTACGTATACAGTTATACCTGATTTGATGAAAACTGCTATTTATTTCAGAATGGTAAAACCTGGAAAGCTTGCGAGGAAAATACAATATTACACCGCAACTCTTAGATATAACCGACTTTTATGGAACGTTCCTTATTGAGTTTCATTCAAAACAGCGACGACTAATGAAGCCTGTTATTGATTGAAGATGTAGACATCAGACATTAACACGGTATTTAATGTTTCATCATTAAACGTTTTAAGAATTCTTAGAATTCTTAAAGCTGATTCGAAGTGTAAATTGCTCAAAAACACGATAAAGTTTTGATGATGACGCAGAGTTTGATAGATAACGTTTGAAAACGGAATAACTTTACTGCTATACCAGTCTTTCACCCTTTTGTAAAAGAAAAAAGTTTACGAATGCATTTTAACGAATGATTGGCGGTTTTTGTCAAGATACAGTACAGCATTACAAGCAGGTGGCAATAGTTTGTTCTTTATGTTATATTTTTACAACTTGGCGCTCGTCTTGATGTTTTTAGCAGTTTGTCATTAAAACTTATGTCTATATCGATAGTCATCTTTTTGAACAAAATTCTAAATTGTAAATCTATTGAAAACTTTTTCGCCACTAATACCGTGAAATTCGTGTTAAGCCACATTTATATAGACTTAGAATGGAAATACATTAAGTTCCTGATATTTGCCACTATCTAAATATTTCTCAGTAAGATTGTGTTCGATGAAATGTTTACATCTATATATTTATTAAAGTTGACTAAGTTTTCCTTAATATTGGTGGAAATGTAATTTATGGCACCATGGTATTTTGAAATATAAATTACTAGTTTTAGTACACACACACACACACACATATATATATACGGCTAAGAATATTCACGAAATAAACAACGTTCTATCAATGGTGTTGAAATATTATAAGTTAAATTTGGGCAAAGTAATTCTTGTTGTTTGAATTTTAACAGTTTGTGGAGTAATGTAATGACACATAAACAAAATGATTCCCTTAAATTCCAGTGTAAGTGGATTTATACTGCTAGAAACCGGGTTTCGATACCCGTGGTGGGCAGAGCACAGATAGCCCTTTGTGCTTAATAACGAACAACAACCAGTGTAATTTTATTACCTTAAATATCTATTTCTGAAATAAGGAAAAAACATATTAAATTACGAATTTATTCAACATGTAGTATACAGTTATTAAGTATAATATATAAATCAACTGTTCCGTTTATATAGGAAGAAGAATATTACATACATTAAAATATACTGCACTGTGACTTATACTACTGCATTCAGATTGGGAGACTTTTTCATAACTGTTAGCTTATTATGAGAAGTAAGTAAAAATTATTTGAGAATAACCTGGGTAAAATATTTTATACCTTAAATGGTTCATTATACTTTAATTAAAGCAGGTTAGCAATTAAAGAAAACATTCAAGTACATTAAGGAGTGGGAAGAGCTTTCAGCCAGTTATAACCAAACCATAAAATGTATTCTATCCAAAATACAGTACTGTGAAAAAGTGTTAGGACAAGAAAATATTTTATTATTCTTTCCATTTTATAGGACTAATTCCTCTATGTCGTTAGAGAATATAAACTTTCAACACTATGGTAATGCTTCACTGACCCCTGTTGACAATTGAATGAGCCAGGGTGAGATCACTTATCATTCTTTAGAATTCCCGTATATAATACTTCTACCAAGGACATGTCATAAGGTTTCTGCTTGAATGAGCATAATGATCAAATTTAGGATCTAAAATAACTGTCATGGTACCCCATGCAGTGTTTGAACTATATAGAAAGAAACTAGCATGGAGCTAGCATATGGTACCAGTACATGCTAGAAGAAATCAATTCAATAGCACTACACAAATAAACCTTGATAAAAACAGTGTTTAATACTATATATATTAAGTTTTGTTGTCATGCCATGGCCCGAAAAGCGTTGAGAATTGTCAGTAGAGCAGAGAGTTTGCATAAAAGCTTTACATGATGCTGGTTGGA